ATAATAATAATAATAATAATAATAATAATAATAAAAATAAGTTGATATACTACCAAACTATATAATATCACTTGCTGCAACAATTATTGTGCTATATTTTTATTATTCGTTATGAAATATGATTATTATTAAATATTATGATTTATTTTTTTTACCTACCTGTCATTTATTTCAAAGTATCTATGTTTCTTATGTAACTTTGACGCCTCTTGGCCAGGACTCCCTTGAAAAAGAGGTTTTTAATCTCAATGGGATTTTTTTCCTGGTTAAATAAAGGTTAAACAAAAAAAAGTTAAATATATATTTTACAAGCATGTTGGCACAACTGGAATTTCTTTAACTAATAAAACCAAGAATCTAACAACATCTACTAATTAACTGAAAAAACTAAAATACTGTGTAAAAATATATCTAGCCCAATCAATGGTCCAAAAAAAGTAACAGACATAAATAAAATAACTACCATAAATAATTAAAACTGATGAAAAATAAACTAAGATTTAACAGGAACTAAATGGTTTCTCAGAGGCTAAGAAGAAATTATTTAAAGACTATATTTCGTATTCTAATGTCTACTGTTGATCTCAAAGTTAAAATGTTGGAAGTGAAATGCATAGCTTGGAAGCTGACTGCTTTGCTTGTACCTTAGATTGTTGATCATTTTTAGTGTTAAAATTCTTATTTAATCCTTTACTGATACTTGCTCTGACGCTGATAACAATGCGGTGCATTTTTCTTGCCTTAAAGGTTTGTTTTTCACCCTCAACTACCTTTTGAGCTGTAATTTGAGCTGTGAGTCATTTTTTCTCTAGTGCGTGTGTACAGATCTGTAGCCACAGCCAGTAAGTCAGGCGACACCTTTAGAGAGCCATTACTTCACTTGTTGCCATGGTGTTTAAACTCCTCCACCTCCCACCCCTTACTCCAACATCATAGGTGCTATGGCAACTGTCACAAGCATCGATGACCCCAGTATCTGCCATTCACACAACAAGCCTCCCCCACATCTCTTACATTGTGCATAAAAAGATGAATATAGACTGCAAGACACGTGTGCCAAAAGAAAAAAAAAGAAAATATATATATACATATATATATATATATATGGTTATTTTTTGATTTGCTAAAGTCACATAGTGTATTCTGTAGGGTTTTCTTATATTTAGAAAATCAGATTTACTCTAAAATCAGTGTCTAATATTATTTTAGCTTGATTCAAAATATATTCATGTAAGCATGTACTGATGCTCCATTTGGGCTTGCCTCTGTAATCCAGAGGGTTAGATCCGTCGCTTAATGGGTCATTTGACCTGATGCACCACAACAGCCTGAATTACCCTTAAACATCAGAACTAATTTAGCTAAAAGGTGATGTTGAACACTAAAAAACATATGAGCGCTACCTGACCAAAAATATTTTTTTTTGTCTCTCTGTTGTAGGATTTAATTCAGAGGAATGAATGTGGCTTTGTCTTTATTAGTACCTCCATGACCTCTCAATCAGCCGCTCCAATATGGTCCTCTTGTCAGATTCCAGAACATTGAGGTAGATCGTTTAAGTTAGTAACAGTGCAGTGTTGCCAGTGTCCTTCAGGGGCTAAACCTGGAAGTTACTGGTCTAGCACCCATAGTGGCCGCTTATTTTCTACTAAATGAATGCGTTCTCTCTAACAAACATATATTGAAATTCAGCTCACTTATAAATTTCCTCATGCAAACTGTAAAAATAAATTTGAGGCTTTTGTATTAATTGCACATTTCTTTATGTTGCCATTTTTTCTTCTTTTTTTTTGACAGACATTTTGCCGGGGTCCTGCACAGAGCAATTTGTGCATATGTTTACCAATAAAATATTGAAATATATATATTTTTCCCACTGAAGAGAAGAGCTGCAAAAAACAAAACCCTCCAGCCTTTTATAAACAAGTGGGATAACTGTTTGGATAGCGTTTATGTGAAGATGTCCTATGGGATGTTTGTTTTTTCTTTATGACAACCTCAGCTGTCCTTTTACCGGATTTATAGAGCACAAGCACCCTGACCTTTCAGACTTCTGTCTGTGAAACTCAGCCTTGGCTGCTCATCCAGCACACACAGCTGTCTGTTGCTGTTACCGAGAGTCAAATCAGTTGTGAAAAAAAAGGAGTCGACATTTAGATCAAAGTCAAAAGACAGCCCATGTTCTGCAGCAGTTAAATTTTTCTTGACAAGTGGATTTTCAAAAAAAGAATCGGAAAAACAATATTAACCAGTAATTATTCAATAACAATCCATTTTTGGTAGCTTTATTCCGTTCTTCTTTGCCATTTTCTTGATGCTATTCTTTCTTTCCTCCAGAGAACAAATGCACGTGGTCTCCCTCAGGTCATTAGAGTCCCTCCAGGATCCAGTGGTACAGTCATCACCCTTGTTTCCATGGCAGTGGTTGGCGGTGTGCTGGTACTGGCAATGGGAATAGCTTGTTTCAGGCACTATGGCCACCATGTCGCCAATGGTAAGCTCGGCTTGGGGCCAGAAGGAGGAGCAGACACACACTTTGACTACCAGGTGAGACTTAACATTATGTGGACCTAGCGGGCTTATTGAAAGAATTGACAGCTCAAATAGGACTGCCATTTACTTTTGACAGACCTGTTGCGATGAGGTATTAAAATGCAAGAAAACATTTACATGGAAAACATACTTCTGGGAAATGATCCCTTTTATTAGAAAACTGGGTTTTTCATTTTCTGGTTCTTCATTTTCTTTAACTTGGACTTCAGTTTTTTTTTTTTTTGCCCATATAGAAACTGTTATTTATCTATTTATTTAGTTTTGGCTTTGCACAGTATAATGCAAAGCCTTTTCAAAAGTTATCACCAGTCAACACCACACACTTTTTTTAATTTCCAAAGTAATGTAATGGAACAAAAAACACAATGTGGTTCATTTAGTCTCTAGATTCTTGTGGTCTCTGAAAAAGATTGAGTTATACCATTAAAATATTGCTACTGGATTTTGATTAAATTGTGTGTCTGATAACAATAGAACCAAGCAGACTACATCTAAATATAGACAGTATGTATTTTGTTGTGATGATAGTGTTTATTGTTAAGAGGTAAAATATTATCCATAGCTTTCAAGATTTTACCAAATAAAGTTAAGAAAAATATGACATTGCCTGTTTTTCAACTCAGAACCCCTGACTCAATTTTTTTTAGAACCATCGTTACACAATCTTTTGGAGTCTATGAGATTTTATTTAACTGACCTTTTGTGTAGTGCCCATAGACAACATGTGTTGGAAACTGGAGCTTTCTAATTTATACTGAGACACAGCAGGGGGTTTAGGAGTATCATAAACAAAGGGGCAGTCGCATCATTCACATTTTAGTTGTTAAAGAAACCATGAATCTATTTCCTTTCACTTTTACAAAGTGTTGGAAAGAACCTGGTGGATACTTGGATTGTTTCGAAGTAAACAGAAATTAAGCCTGGGTAGTCCCTTAGCCATGAGGTTTAAAAAGGACCCACATGCAGAGACAGAGCTGAGGTGATTTCTTGCAGATTTAGTAAAAAAAAAAAATATTTAAAAATACAGAATCCAAAGTCTCGAACTGATCAACAAGGAAAACTCAAAAACCAAAAAAGTTAGGAGACACAAGGGAGGCATAAACCAAAAGAATGACGAGGATCCCACAAAGAGTAACTTAACAATAGGTGTATATGTGACAGAAATAGTGGGAGGACTAATTAGCTGATAGGGAGCAGGTGTAGACAGAAGTAACTAGAGGGGAAAGGAGACTGGCACAAGGGCCAACAGAGTGTAACTTAAAAAATAAAGCACTGCTTAAATATAACAGAAAATGGAAAAGAAACCAATGACCAAGAAAACAGAATAACATAAACTTAAAAAGAAACTTAAACAGAGGTCCAAAAAGTTCAGAATCATGACAGGTATTAAACTGTATTTTAATGGGATTCAACAGATTTATCATATTTATTAATCAGGTGATTTCTGAAGGCAACTGGTTTCCTATGAGTTGATTGTAGAACTATTAAAGTAAATAAAAACTTTTCATACATGCAAATACACTGTAAGCATAACTGCATAATATGCATACCACTGTATAGAAAATCGGTAAGAGATCTACTGTTGAGCCGCTTTGAAATTGTAAAGGGAAATCTGTCTCCTTACAAATAAATAAAAGGTATGAGGATTACTCTTTATTTTCTGCAAATTACTGTGGAGAGGTAGGTCTGGAGTCTCTGCTGCCTCCCCACCAGGTTCCAGTTAAAGCAGAATCCAACGACTGATTATTTGGAAAGCATATAAAGTAACAGCACATTAATGCATTCTAAATGTGTCTCATTCATTATTCAGGAGCTCTGTCGGCAGCACATGGCATCCAAATCCTCTCTCTGCCGCCAAGATTGTGTTGGCGGGTCAAGCAGTGGCATGGCGGGACCTGCCACAGGAACTGGAGCTGGCGGACGGAGGGGCACAGATACGTCCCGTGTGAGCAGCGTGTCCTCCCAGTTCAGCGATGGCCCCCAGCACAGCCCGTCCTCCACTCACAGCTCTACCCCATCCTGGAGCGAAGAGCCGGCCCAGTCTAATATGGACATCTCCACAGGTCACATGATACTGGTGAGGGGATAACAGAACATTCAAAGAGCAGTTGAGAAGTATGCCGGATGCATCTTGTGTGAATATAGATTTTTCTTGTGGTGGCAGGCGTACATGGAGGATCACCTGCGTAACAAGGATCGGCTGCAGAAGGAGTGGGAGGCTTTGTGCTCCTATCAGGCTGAGCCCTGCTCTGTAGCTGTGGCTCAGGAGCCTGCCAACATGGATAAAAACCGTCACGCTGATGCCCTCCCCTGTTAGTCACCAATGAATCCCTCTTTATGATTATTTCTGTCACTTTGTTCACACTGTATACTAAGTGCTAATGTAAAAGAACTGAAAGAACCACTAAAATTAAACATACCGAATATTTTTACTATATTTTCTTTACATTTTTTTTAGCACTAAGTGGATGACATTTTCTTTACGAAAGTCATTGTTTCTTTTTCAGATGATCACTCTCGTGTGAAGATGAAGCCAGAAGTAAACCCAAATAAACAAGATTATATCAACGCCAGTTTTATCGTAAGAAATTAATTATAAATCACCAGTATGAAACCTGATCTTACAAAAAAATATTTAGTTTTATGATGATTTTGATTTTAAAAGATCCACTATGAAAAATGATGAGGAAAAAACAGACACTTAACATCTTGACGAGACAAATTCAAATAAAATGTGTTAAACCTGTCTGTTTCATAGCTTCTCTTAATTTATATCAATAGTTATTATAATGTATTCAATTTCTTTTTTTTAATTCCATACCTATGAATTTGTATGACTCAAATTTTTCTCTCTGACTTTCAGTTCGATCATGACCCTCGCCAACCCGCCTATATTGCCACACAGGGCCCCCTGCCCCACACCGTTGCAGATTTCTGGCAGGTCAGTTTGTTCAGTAGTTTTTTTTTGCGTTGTTTATTCGCTTCCATGCTGCCATCCTGGTGTATATGTTTACAACATCTCTGCATCCACTGAAGACTGTAGAACACTGTATGGGACATTGTGTAGTACAATTTAACTACATCAGATTCACACTTTTTCAGTATACTTCAGTTCAAATATGCCATTTTGTTACATAGAAAAATGACAAATATTAATTCATTTGAATTTCAAGTGATGAATAAAATCAAGACTGTTACATATTCTTTAATTTGGAGGGACGTTGGTACATACTTAATGTTTTCAACATTTCTACTGGTTAAAGTCTGAAAAATGTGTCACCAATAAGCCTTAAATTTCTTTTCTCTGAAGTTAAATTAAATTAGGTAAAACCAATTGCCTTCAGAAGCAACAGCATAATTCAAACCCTCCTGTAATGTCTATTATGAATAGATCTGCTCTGTGAAGGTAAAATAACAGCATCAAGAATACAAGTAAAACACAGCAGACAGGTGAGGAAAAAAGTTTCCCAGTATCCAGACAGGCTCAGGATGTCTCTGAAAAGGAGGGTTGCAACTGTAAAACCTCCTTTAAACGTCTGTCCATCTAAACAGATAGACCAAATGGCATTATTCTGAGAAGTGGACAGGGTTTTATTGATTGCAGAGTAGTAAAGATCCATAGTTTAGGTGAGAAAACAAATACAGGCAGCGATTATTCCTTACCTCCACTGCTCTGTCTTTTATGAAAGAATAATAAAACTATTTTATCACTAAAAGCATCCAGTTTACATTTAGCCATAAGTCACAAAGGTGAGACAATAAACAAGTGAAAAAAGTTTCTTAATAAGGATTATGGCAAATTGAGCATTTTAGCCCACTTGAAAAACTTTTTGTGCCAGAACTAATCCTGCCCAACATGGCAACATCTAAAACAATAAAATGTGTGATTAGCTTTTTATTAGAAGGGTTGAGGGAGCTTAAAAAATAAAAACAAACACATAAATGAAAATTTGTAATCCAGTCCCTATGGTGAAGTATTTAAAGTCTTTAACTCTAATGCAGGGGACCCCTGCATTTTCTTAAATTTCTTAAAAAGTATGAATTTAGGACAACAAATGGACATCTCACCTCTCATATTTTTTTATAACCATACAGTTAATCGGTTTCTTTTCATTTAACAGCCATTTGTAGGAGCCAGTTATTTTTTGTTGATAATTAACTGAGTTTTTATTTTTTTGTAGATAATCTAATTAAGGTTATTTATTTTTACTTGATTGTTTGATAATTGTTTTGAGATTATGTTGTTGGTTATTTAGTTGTTTCCATGTTTACGGTTAGTTATGCAGCAATTTGGATGAATTAAGTTTATAAATAGGCTGTTAATGGTAGGACCAGCATGCAGTGGGCGTATGTTTTTTAACAGCGTAAGAGAAGCATGGAAGAAATGTTTGTCATTTTTGTTTTCTTGCTTAAGGAGAAATTAACCACAAAACAAAAGGGCTTTAACTGGAAAATTTATTTCTTTTTGCCTGCATAAATTACTTGTCCATGGTGCATCTGTGGCCCTTGTGGATTTTTTTTGTGTTGTCAAGGCTGGGCTCCAACAGCTATGCATTACATTATGCAGTTTTTTTTTGTGTGTTTTTTTTTTTTTAGGTATTTGTGGACAAACAGAAAAAAAATGACATTTCACATATTGTAAACCATATCCATAACCAGTGTTATCTTATTGATATGCAGATGGTTTGGGAGAATGGCTGCACAGTAATCGTGATGATGACGGCTCTGGTGGAAGATGGAGAAAAGCAGAGTGAAAGATACTGGCCTGATGAAGGTTCTTCACTCTATCACATTTATGAGGTTTGTCTTTTCGGCCGCATCTCTTAATTACATGATGGGGAATCCCAAAGAAAAATTAGTACAATGGTTATTCTATTTTTGAAATATAAACATTTGTTGTGACGTTTGGAAAATTAAAATGTTATCTTTCTTCTTTGTCCTGCTTGTGTCTTTCTCTTATACAGGTGAATCTGGTATCAGAGCATATCTGGTGTAAGGACTTCCTGGTGCGCAGCTTCTACTTAAAGAACGTCCAGACACAGGAGACGAGAACATTGACACAGTTTCATTTGCTTAGTTGGCCTGGTGATGGTATTCCCACTTCTACAAGACCGCTGCTCGACTTTCGCAGGTAGAGAGGCTGGGCTCTCCACCTAGTTTATACTTAACTCTGTTCCATATAACTCAATCGTTTTCTACAAATACAGAGAACTTCAGTTTGTGTAATGCTGCATTTAAATCCTTTTTCAAGTCAGTACTTTTATTTCCCGCCTTCTGAGTTAGAGATGGTCAAATAAGTCTTTGTTGTCCTTACTTCATCTCCCATCCATTAATCACCTTGGCTCCCTCTCCCTCTCTCCCAGTGTGCAGGTTGATAGGTTTGTATTTTAACATCTCCCAGTGTCATTTTTGTGGTTTGCAGCTAGTACTCTGGCTCCAGTTGCATAGTCACAAAAATGAGCATTGGCAGGTGTGACTGGCTGCTGCAGGCTTCTCCCTCTCCTGCTGTCCTATCCCCACATCCTCACATCTATCTTAGAAAACGTAACATGCCCCCTCATTGTCTCCCTCATCATCACTTTTATGGGTCCTTTCACAGATTTCCATATTTTCTTTCCTCCTGCTTCCTTGAATTCATTTTAGCAATGATCCAAATGAAACTAAACCTGCCTAAGGAGCCGCTGTGTGCTCAGTTCCTTGCTAAAGTTTTTTTATACATTGATTTTTAAATATTCAAACCATAAGCATTGTGTTTAATTGGGGTTTTTGTGATAGAACAATACAAAGTACAGTATAACGTTAATGTTGTATCAAACAGCAAACTATTTTTTTATTTTTTTTTTATATATATTTTCCTTGCAAAAATCTTACAAATTACAGTGCAATCTATTTATTTTACAAGTTCCGGAATATATAAATATTTCCCATCCATGTGTAATTTAACCTTAGTATGAATGGGATTTTTCTTAAATTAGCAGTTTCTCACAAACTCCACTGTGATGACCAAACAAAACATACAGGTCAGGGATAAAGTTTAAGAAAGATTTATTTAAAAAAAATTATAAGTTATGAGAAAATATCCACAAAAGCGGTTTTAAATCGGAGGCAAAGCGGTGAAGTTTTTTCTGAAGACGATTCAACACATATCCAGGAATCTTTGTTAATTCTGTAGGCTCACACTACAACTAGGACCTTTATTTACTTTATAGCAGAAGATTCCTCTAACCCTCTATAAAAATTGTAAAGGATAGGACAGAGCTACAAACATGGGAAAACATGTATTCCACATGTAAACTAATACGATGAGAGTTAAGAGCATCAATCAGAAGAGAAACCAAGAGGCCAAAGTCTGAGGTTGATATGGCAAAGATTTGTCTTACATTCCATAACCTGTAGTTTACCATTAAATACTTGCCATGTATTGAACAAAGTGACCACATCAGATTAGATCATTTATTTCACTTTTTTGGCCTATATATAAAACCCTCAATTGTGGTGAAAAATATTGTAGGGCAACTTTGAATGAAAACCTACTTTAGGATCTGAGACTTGAGACTGAGAAGCTGATTCTGTTTCCAACTGGAAAACAATCTCAAGCAGACAGCAAGGTATACAACTAGTTGGGTTAAACCAAACTATTCATTTGTTGGAATGGCACTGTCTATACCTAGCGCAAAATCCCATTTAAGATACCTTGGCAGGACTTGAAGAAGGAATTGTTACATATCTCTCTCGCGCTCTCGAGATCTTGAGCTTTTTTTTTCTACAGACAAATAGCTAAACTTCAAAGGTGCAAAGCTGCTTAACATTCAGCTTTAAGTGCTTTGAAAGGTTGTTCAACTAATTGACTGATTATGTATTTATGCCACAATTCTCACATTGGTGTTTCTTTAAAAAGTTTGAAAACCATGTGTAAAAGTCGTGTAATTACTTTCTGCTGTGTGTTATTCAGTAGGCTATCACAAGAAATCCCAATAAATCACAGTGATGTCTTCTGTAAAATGTGAAAAAAAAAACTCAGGTGGTAAATTTGCAAGGCCCCATACAAAGCATACATTTAATGATCTTCTAGCACATTTCACCTTGTGTGTGTACTGTACGTGCTTCTATGCTCTTTTTCAAAATAATTCTATACGTTTCATCTTTTTTAATAAGTTTTTTTTTTTTTCCTTTACTGTTGTTTGTTCTTTTCAGGAAGGTGAATAAATGCTACCGAGGTCGATCCTGCCCTATCATTGTTCACTGCAGGTACAAAAAAATGACCTATCAATATACAGCATAAATGTTTCAACTTTATTGAAAACAGTTTGTTTTCTTCTCTTGTCATTGCAGTGATGGGACAAGCAGGGCTGGCACATACATTCTCATTGACATGGTGCTGAATCGCATGGCTAAAGGTGAGTCTCTCACACACCCACACACACACTTTATATCATGTGTGTAAAATGTTTAATAAAACATTTTAAAAACGCAGTTGTGATCGAGTTAACTTATCTAAGGATGTAGTTAACATTAAGCGACAGAAGAGGGGGCTGTTGTACCTAATATTAGTGGAGGTAACTCCATGAACTATTGGAGAAAATCAGTTTATTTATTTGATTTATTTGAAAAGGGTCAACTTAAATTGTGTTAAGTCATTGCAGAGTTTTATAACTAAAGCGCTATTACAGTATCAAATGTAAATAATGAATAATACCAATTAAAACAGCTTTATAACATCATAAATATATTCCACTGCCTGATACAGATGCTATCCCTTTTCCTCTTGCTATTAGGGGTGAAGGAGATTGATATCGCAGCCACACTGGAGCACATCAGAGACCAGAGGCCTGGACTGGTTCGCACCAAGGTACCAGCTGTTTTCTCTTATTTTCTGCATGTTTCTTCTTGCTTTTACAAACTTTATGGCTAAAGTTAATCAAAACCAAAATGCTTCCCTTCACTCCTCTTGTTCAGGACCAGTTTGAGTTTGCGCTGACAGCCGTTGCTGAGGAGGTGAACGCCATTTTGAAAGCTCTGCCACAGTGAGATCCAGCAGTTGAGGAACATGGCCACCAGACATGGAGGCACCTCAAAATACATGTTTCAAAGGAAATATTTATTGGATCTCTTTGATCTAGGTGGAGACAAGGGTATACACAGTCCCAGAAATGTCGAGCCTCATTTTCTGTTCTGTTTTCTGTTAATATAATGAGGTGGTGGCTTGTTGCTGATAGGCTGCAGATGGGACCACATTTATTCATAATTATACCACAAACGTAAAAGCTACCCACCTGATTACAAAAGGATGTAGCCATAAAACATAAAATTCAAACATTTGTGCCTGTCTGAATACAGGTTTATGCTTTACAAAAGAGGAGACAATATACCTCCCTGTGACCATGAAGTCTAAATCTCAGTGCCCGCTGGATAACAAACAGACGTTTTGCTGCATTGATAAGTAGACCAACATACATTAAAACCAAATGTCTATACATTCACCTTACTAAGTCAACGTGAAAGTAGTTTATTTTAAATCTTTGGATGTGGTTGTGTCAAGTGTCAATGTTGTCGATTTGTTTTTTTTACCCTGAGGCTGTGTCTTTGGCTTAAAGATGTAAGTTCCTCTCTGGCTCTGATTCTTTTAGTGATGGATGCCTTCTATTGGCATCAACAAATCTACCTATTTCCACCCAAGATGTTGCTTTCTTCATACTCTTTTGCCATCTTAGTCAATGTGATTAATGTAAATAATTCACGCTGATGGTTGTTTATTTCATGTAGCAGACAAATAGAAAATATCTATAAAAATGTATTTTTGACTTGATCTTAATAAATTTGTGATGTGATGCAGCAGAAGAAAATTATTCCTGTGTTGTTGGTTTTATTTTATAGTATGATTTAAATAATTGTGCATTTTTTATTTTCATTTATAATTAATGTTTTAATATTTGAACGATTATTAAGAGTAATAAGCGATAAAATTATTAGTTTTTCAACTGTTCTTTGGTTTCTATACAGCTTTCAATTCGTGATACGGACTTGCTGAATTTGCTTACTTTGTGCGTTTCCAATAAAAAAAAAGATCCTTAACTCAGAGGCAGTGTCCGAATGTCCGCTCAAACCACCATATAGTGACTACGACATTTTAGATGAGTGGTTGAATGTCTAGTAGATGAAAAGGTAGTGGACTCTACATTTCCCACAATGCGTCTTGAAAAGTGATCATCCATGGTCAATAGACAAGCAGATATATCCCGGAATGCTTTTCGAGGAGAGTTCTCCTTACAAAGCATCATGGGCCCAGCTACCTAACAGCGGTGACAAATAACAAAGATGCTGCAGGTAAAGTGCAGGGAGGTGGAGTTACGTGGCCAACAGGGAACGAAAAGCCGTGATCATCTGTCCGAACGGTAAGTTAACTGACTTGACTATAAAGTACACTATATAGTCCCTGCTCTATATAGTGACTGAGGAATTTAGGGGTTAGAGTGTACGTTCGGACACAGCCAGAGATTCCCAAAATGTTGAGTTTTCAACTCCAGTGTGTTTCATTACAGAGGTTGAGAGCTCAAAGCAAAAAAAGACCAAAAAAAAAAAAAAAAACGTAACTTTGCTGTACCGAATGTAGCTTTCCCGTTATTTGATGAAAGTATGGACCAGTCTCTCGTTCTCATGAGCAACCAGTAGACAATGTCTCAGTTAGTTGTACAATTTCTCTGACCTCATTTTCAAACACCTTACAAATTCTGAAAAAGCATTCATTCAGCATCCATGACTTAGATCTTCCATTCTAAAGAGTGCTAGGTACCGATAAAGATACCGACCTTTTGAGTTTCTAATAAGCATCCCAGGGAAAATCAAGTTCAGACTGATTCTGGTCAAGAGACAATTTCTCATTGTATGTGTCATTATCATTCTCAAAACAATTGGAGGATTAATACAAATTTAATCAAAGTGGAAAGAGACAAAGTCTTTATTTCCTCTGTTTCGTGTCTCGAAAATATATTTCAGAATTTGTGGAACATTTTGACTGAGTAAATATAATTTCCTATTCTTTGAATACGATTTTAATATATTTTGTACCTGTTTTCCAAAGCAAAGCTTAAAAAATATTCACAATCTTTTGTCGCACACATAACTCCGTCCTTGGCTGTCAAAATATTTCCAGTTACTCTTCTTTCGCTTTCTGAAAAGCTATAAACAGAAAAGAAACACAAAGCAACAAATACAAAGTTTTCAAGGTTTCATTCTGAGACAGAACACATCATGGCGAGAGAAAGTGCATTGTAGCGAGTATGACCTTAGACCTGCAAAAAACAGATGTTAAAAAATGACGTTACAGTTTATCTTGAGATGGGATAGAATCTATATGGGGACGGATAAGGAGAAAAAAATATGTTCAGGATGCCGCAGAGTCACAATGGTTCTTTACCTCGGGGTGGGGCTTAAGCGCACAGAGCAGCATGAGCCAATCAGGTTAGCTTGTGAAGGCCTTGAAGTCTGAGTCTGAAACAGGAAGTAGGAAGTATGAGACAAGGGTTTAAGTTATGCCATAACTTAGAACCAAATACACTTGTTTTTTAACCGATTATGTATTTATAGCGAAAATACATATCAGCTTGAGTCAGGATTTAATCAAACATATCTGACTAAAGTAGGACAAATATCAATAATACTAGAACAAGATTAATGAGAAAGTGAGGCAATAGAATTCTGAAGAAAAAAAAAAGAACACCTCTTTAGGCTCAATCTTTATTAGTTATCAGTTTATTAAATTGAAAAATAACACATGGTAGTGCAAGGTAGTACAATATTTTAAGTCAATCAATATATATGTATATAAAACAATCCATCTATTCATATTTGCTCTTATGTCCGCTTCACATTATTAGTAAAGAGGAGGAATTATCTGTAATTCATATTTCCATAATTTAAATCTCATTTGCCAGGGACAGAAATCGTCTTGTTTAAATCAATATGCATCATTAAACATATCAAGTTTTTAGGAATTATGGCACATTAACTTTCTGCTGCTTCAGCAGTCCAGAAAACAAGTTTTGTCTAAAATGTACTTTAAACACTACACAACACTAGTAATACTTTGATTTGAATGCTTTTGGGATTTGGCAACAACTTGGCTTTCTAAAGTTCCAGAATTAGTTTTTACAAAACAAACAACAACCCTGTTTCACAGATAGTGTTTCACCACTTAACAATAATTTTACGTCCTTAGAGGTCTGAAACGAGGCCTTTTTAACTGAGACACCAGCATTCATTGCAAGAGTCCCCCGCCACACACACACACACACACACACAAACAAAAAAAAGCTGCTTGTACCTATCAGACTCCTACATATAAATGCAACAAACACACAGCACTGTTACTGTAGTATAAGTAATGTGCAAATAGAGTGCAATGGTGAGAGCAGTGCAAAAAAATTAAGAGGGGAAAAAGGCTGAGATTTGGTGCCTGAACTTTAACTTATCTAGTGCAATTTTTTTTTTACTTGTTTATTATTTCTTATATAGAAAGCACAATCATAATAAATTTGCTTTTTATTAATTCATTTGTGAGTAAGGGTGCTTTTATCTAAAGGAACTTAGAAACGGGTAAACATTGTGAATTCATGTAAGATTTTAACCTCTTGTCAAAGGTCACTAGTGTGGAAAAAACAGGAATATTAGGAATAGAAGGTGTGACCTTTAGTTTAGTCACTGGTTCAATTGTTGGCCAAAAGATTACACTTTGGTCTCATCTGAATAGAACAATCCTTTGCATTGCCGTGTCCCTTCCAGTCTAGCTCTAGAAAACATTAAAACTAAAACAGTTCAGGGTTTACTTTTTAAAGGCACTGCACATTTAACAACACAGTTCTTAAAAAATGTATTCAGCACCAGTACATAAATATAAAGTATTCCTAACTCCATAATGTGTGCTTTGAATAACTAGATTTTCCATTAATGTTGGTCAGGTACTTACAGAAGACATCTTTAATCAAAGATAAGAACTTCCACTGAAAGCCTTGTGACATACTTTTTGATTTGAATCACTTGCTTGAGACAGGCATGGGTTTGGCACAGTTTGTGGCAGGGTTCTCAAAGACTCAAACTCTCAAAGATACACTGAGAGAGGCACACATATACATTTTACTTTGATTCGGCATTTTTTTTAAACTAACCGATCTGTTCAATCTATTTCTCTATAACACCAACCTGCTATACTTTAGAAGTGATGCATTTCAAACCGTCTCTCTGAAACCAAAGCTGACTTCAATCCAAACTTACCTCCATTTCTAACAATCTGCAAAAACTTAAAAAAAAACTCAAAGCGGTTATTTTCTAGGTTCCTACTCATTCCACCTGTCTACTCAGACATTCTCTCCTTTTCAAAACAATCATTCATTGTTCTTTTGCAAGTAAGAATTCAAAAATATTTTTATCACCTTATGTGCATAATTCAATATTGCATACTGTTAGCAAACAGCTGCCAGACCTTTAGGTAAAGAATCATTTTTGCATGTACTATAATTTGTGGCTGTAAGCTGACACCATGCTAAGAGGAAGGGGAGCCTTCTTAGATATGCAATGAGACCATGCTATAACACAACACACCCACACCTGTTCTTTTTCACACTCCCTTCTGATGTTTTTGCCACTGGTTTGATCTTTTCTTCAGTCGACAGTGTAGTGGGAGCAGCTGTAGCTGGCTCTCTGGTTCCATTCTGCTTTGTTTCAGAGCTAGCTCCAGAACTTGTGCTAACTTTAAAGTGCCCCTCATCACCTTTCCCCTCTCCAACTACTTTGTACGCACTGGACAGATGAACAGTTTGTCCATTAACAAGCCCTTCTACTGTGTTGCCCCCAGTTTTAGTATGTTTGGTTCTGCCCCTACCCACAGCACCTGGTATGAAGTTGGTAGCACCGGCTTGCTGCTGCCCTTCCATTTCTGACAGGCTACATGCCAAAGCCATCTGAAGGTCTTCATCTTCTTCTTCATCCTCACTGTCATCCACATGGTTATAAAAGGGAGCTGCGCTAAATGACCGATGTGCAGGCGCAGTGCTGTGACGGTCGGAGTGATAGGGTGATCCATTCAGGAGCTGTGGTTTCTGAGCGGACTGGTGTCCTTCTCTTCTACTGAGCTCAAGTGCAAGAGCCATTTCGTCCTCCACACCTATGAAAAACACATAT